TTAATGATATCTTATATTAAAAAAAAATTAAAAATTATATAATTAATTAGTTTTTTTTGCATTATCTAGTATAAATTTATTATTCTTATATAAATGATAATTTATATTTGCTTTAATAAAATTATTTTTGTGTAAAAAAATTAGATTCCAAGGATCGGCCCATATGTATGGTAATTTATTTATTAATAAGCTTTATTGCAATTATTTCGCCATCTAGCAGTCCAATTTCAATGAATATTTTTTATTTTATAAAGCATAAATGGGGCTACAAAACAAAAAAAAGGTTATGCAAATTGGATTATTAGATAGCAAACTAATTGTATTATAATATATATATTAATATAATATATATATTATATTGTATGTATTTTTTTAGCCAATCAGAATTCAATCACATAGTGGGTAGGGGGTCAGGTCTCTAATTGAGCATAATCACGTGATTTCTGGCATGCCCCTAATATAACTTAAAATCTTTTCTGTTCTTTTCTTTATTTAAGATTTCAGTTAGCCAAAAACTATTGTATAGGTAAACCTTTAAGTGAAGCTATTCAAGCTCTACCATTTTATAGTTCTAAAGTTGTCTTATTGAAGTCTACTAATACTATTACTATAGTATACTTCTGTTGCAATTTAAATTTAATTACAAATACATAACTTTAGACTTTTAAGTGATTAAACATGATATTAAGTTGTATCTATTTGAAAGGATATTATAAACTGTAATTTTATGAATATTATTCTTAACTTTAGGATTATATTCAGTCATCACAATACTAATAGTTTTAAGTGCAGATGTTGCTATTTATTTCTTAGAACTTACAAAGTGACTTTTACTAGTAATACTAATCTTGAAAACAAATGCAGTTTACCTTTTCTTTTCCTTTGTAGAAGTAAATAAGTTCAGCCTGCTAAAATCACTATTTAAATCTTGTTTAATTATTTCTGCATAAGAAACTCACTTGTTCTTTTCTTTAAAAGTAAAAGATGTAGCTTTTGCAAAGAAAATTAATCAGTTTTTCAGGTTATGTAATATTTGCTAATTGATATATTAGATTTTTTATAATTCTATATCCATTAGTTGATTCTCTACTAATTTGAATTGTTGTGATAATGTATATTATAAATCATACTTTTTATACTATTTTAATTAAACTCATTATTAACCAAATTTTTAAAATGCTTAGAAATTTCAAGCATAATAAAAAGAAAGCGATAAAACTTGGTGAAGTCTTTTATAAATATACTGTATATTGTAGCCTATATATAATACTTGAAGTTATATTTTCCAATAATTTTATTATTTAAATAATCTAGCAAATATTTTAGATATGATGTGTAACAATTCCTAATTATTTTATAAGTTTAAATACTCTCTATTAATAGTAAAAATTCACATAATAGGGGAGGTACTAAGGTTGCTTGCCAAAACCTAGGGGTTTAGGCAAGATGGCATTTCGCTGAAAAGCAAAATTCTGCCGAAACTATATTAAAGTTATATTAAAAAACTGGTGAAACTTTAGAGAAAGGCGAAACTGCCAAAACTTATTATAAATGCTGAAACTGCCAAAACTCTGCCAAAACTATAATAAATCTATATTAAAATTTTGATGAAACTAATTGTAGGATTTTGAAGAGGTTTAGACAGGCAACCTTAGGAGGTATAAGGCCAAATCTCTGAAATTTGCAAAATACCTAAGGTACTGTAACTTATGATATTCCTATGAAAAAAGTCTGTATGATTTTTATTGAAAAATCATTCAATTAAATTCACTATGATTTCTGTATATTTGACCATACAATAATTGTGCTAAAAATTGCAATAAATCACACAATTATTGCATAGTAATTCATTCAATAATTATCCTATTTTTGACCTGAATTTATACAATTATTGTGTGATTTTTGAGCCAAATTTTAGGCCATATTTTAGGAATTATAGGTTAAATTTTACAGTAATAACAGGCAATTTATAAGTAAAATTATGAATTTTTGTTGACTTAAAATATAAAAAATATACACAATATTTCATAAATAAAATACTAAATTTGATATAATCATAAATATAAAAATTTGTAAGAAAATAAAATAAAATAAAGTATGTTAGTAACATAAAAGTAAATTAGTAGTATCAAAGAAGAAAGTAAATTATTAGTGTAAATAAATTATTAGTATTAAATAAAAAAGTATGAAGTTAGTGAAGAAAGCAAATTAGTAGTGTTAAAAAGTAAATTATTAGTGTTAGTAATAAAAAAGTATGAAGTTAGTGATGAAAAAAGCAAATTAGTAGTGTTAAAAAGTAAATTATTAGTGTTAGTAATAGTGTTACGATTTGGATAAATCCATTATCTGTTCAATCTGGTTCGAAAATAAACGGATGATCTGGATGAAAATCTGGATTTAATCTGGATGAGAAAGTTATATGTACAATCCAGATGATTCAGATCCAATCCATTAAAACATAGAGGTAACAGATGACAGATTGATCTGGATGAGCAAAAATGGATTCATGAATGATCCAGATGAATTTCAAATCAGATAAATCTGCAGATTGACGAATTGACAGATTAACAGATCACAACACTAGTTAGTAATAAAAAAAAAGTATGAAGTTAGTAAAGAAAGCAAGTTAGTAACATTAAAATGTAAAAAGTTAGAAAAATAAAAAGATAAAGAACACAAGTTTTTTTTATCTGATATTTTAAAAGAAAGTTGAAGAAAAGTTAAAGGTTAAAAAAACATAAACAAAAACATTTTGATGATCAGATTACGTAATCAACATATATAATTTTAAGAATTGATTTTACCATATAATTCTAGCCAAATTATAATTCCAGTCAGAACTAAATGTGTAATCTAATAAAAAGTTTAACTTTTTTTTAGTTATAATATGATACAAAAATTTCACCAATGGGTTCAAAAGATATCTATTTATAAGTAAATATGCAGTTGAATTTTATGCAACCTTACTGCATAAATCACTTTACTTAGGAAAATCTATTTGTAATGGTTAAAAGTGGTCTATTTGACCCTAAAAGTGGTCAAATGTAACCATACAGGTAAGATGGAAAGTAGCATAGTAGGATTATTACCCAAAAATTGCTTTCTGTATCCTAAATTTAAGTCTATTTTCAAGTTATACAATAATCACAATTTTTATTGTACAAAAATTGAATGTTTTCTGTATCCTAAATTTAAGTTGTATAAAGATCACATAAAAATTGAACATTTTCTATATCTTAAATTTAAGTTGTACAAAAATTGCATACTTTTAATATGCTTTGAAAAACTTCATAGCTATTTTTATCCAAAAATCTGCAATAGTTGTACAATTTCCATACAGACTTGAACAAATATTGTACAAAAATTGGATGATTTTTTTTCATAAGGTATATGGTAACATCTGTATAGGAGTTAGGTCTATCTTAGTTACAAATATCTTTAATAGCCTTTACTATATTAAGCTCAGAAAAATTATTTGAAATATATTCTGTAAGACTAAACCTAACAAATTCAAAAAAAGAAACTGTTTTAAGGTTACATATAAGTTATTAAGCCTTGATAAGGTTAATATCAAGTCTTTTGATACTTTGGAAAGCTATTTTATCATAAAAATATTAAAAATATTGCTGATAGTTTTCTTGAAAAAAAATGGTTCATATGATTATCAGAAAGAGTTCTTTATAATTATGCATTATTTATTATATAGTTAATTTTTTAATGCCAATTAAATATTATAATCCTGCCAATTTTTATGATTTGTTAATTTTTTAGTAAATATATTAAAAAAGTTATATACTACAGAAAATATTATTTAAAAGATCAAAATAATTAATAATGATGGTATAATTAATATTATATTGTAAATATAAAGGGTTAATAAACCTTAAATAGTACTTTGGATTTAATAATAGTTTTTATTTTTTAAAATTTTTAAAATTATATAAATAAGAGTATTTATTAACTAGTAAGCAGAATTATATAATTTTTAGTTAAACTTCAAAACTGGATATATTAGAATTAATACAATTCTTTACTTAATTAATTTTTCCTTTAATTAAGATTAGTAATACTTTTTTTTATTATTTATTTATTACATTTTATTGTACTTTAGAAGTGAGTTTTTTATCTTATTATAAGTTGCTTTTTTTATTATATAATAAAGTATATCAAATAACTTTACTAAAAAAAAATAAACAAAGAATTTTCAAAAATCTTAAAAATTTAGAAATTTTGAAAGATTTTTTGGCTATTTTAGGTTTCTTTGAGGATTTTAATGCAAAAAAAAATTACTGTTAAAGAGATATAACTATATATAAAATGACTATAAAGGATGCTTAATTGTACTATAATTTATATTTTTCTTTCAAATATATTACTATTAAATGCATTTTATATATTACTTTAAAAATAAGCCAACAAGCTAAAACTGAAATTCCAAATTTCAAATATTTTATTTAATTTCAGTTAAATTGCCATTGTTATGTATAATGCTGAATGTTTTGTATATATTTGGAATTGCTTATTATATTATAAACAAGTACTAATAAAAACTTATTAGTTATTACTGGATATAAATAGTTGTATCAACTAACATCTACATCTATATTTTAAAAAAGTGGCCAGTATATACTTATTTATTTATTTTTAAAACAAAGGAAACTGATATACAACGATAATTTTGTGTTAAGTTAAAAGCATAATGCAAATAAATAAAAAAAATTACATCTTTAGGTTAATGTCCGTCTCTTAATTATATATATTTAGCATGATCTAATTTATATTAATCCTTTTCAATGCAAGTTCAGCTTCATTTATACAATCTGAGAAATTAATTTTCTTTGCAAGATTATGAGCTTTTTTGTAATATTCACTTGCCTTAATAACATTTCCCGATAACTAATAAAATCCAAAATAAATAAATTATATATATATATATATTTACTAAAATTTTTTTAAGAAAATGAAATTCTAAATACCTCTGAAATCATTCCTAAATTGAATAGTAATACTCCACAACTTTCATCACATTCTCTAGTTTTCTTTTTTTTATTAAAATTTTCAACGAGTTTTAATCCACGTTCAGCCCACCCTCGTGCTTCTTCCAAATTACCCATTCCGGTGAATACTTCCGATATGTTATTCATAAGAACGGCTGAATGACAAGAAGACTCGGGCGGATTAATCAATGATAAAGCACGAAGATAAAGTGGGAGAGCATAACTAAAATATATATGTTGTTATGTCCATCCATGATTTGTTTAATAATTAGTGTAAATAATATTTTAAAATTGTGTGACAATAAATTTATGCGTACCGAAACAGAAAAATCTTATTGTGACATTTCCTACCCCGGTCTTTCATTTTATATATCACTTACGCGTATTTGTGTCGCGAAGAATAAAAAGCTGCAAGAGCTTCAAGAGAAGCACCGAAGTCAGTAAATGTCATCCATGGTGGGAGAGTCATGTCAATTTTCTTTGAAAATAGACTATTGCGATTGCTGTTATCATGATTTAAATGAGCTACTTCGGAATGTGATTGCAAAAGTTGTTCTACGGACCATATGAAATACTTTTCTGCTTGCTCATCTTGTTTTAAACTTTGATGCAAATCGCCCAATTTTTGCGCTAATCCAATCGACTTTAGTTTTATTTTCCCATCCAGTTTTACGGGAGTATTATTCGGAGTAACAATAGCATCATATGCCATTGTAAAAACATCCGTAGCCTCACGTATTCGGCCAAGTTCTTCATATAAACTTCCCAGCTGAATCATAATTCCGGTAACTTCCGGAGACGCATTGTCTAATTCTGCATGATTAAAAGCATCATTTAAAGCAGTTTGGTAATAATTAACAGCACGATTTGGATCATTTCTGTAATTTTGATAATATAAGCCTTTTCGAAGATTTTTACGAATTTCTTCAGGATATTTATAAACCGCAGAAAAAAAATAGTGGTATAACCCAAGAAATGTGATTGCAGATGTTGTAAAAATTAATACTAAAGGAAACGCTGGTAAGGTTGGCTTTTTATATTCGTTTGTCTTTTGAGTGGAAAATTCAAAAGATTTATCTTGTTTATATGATTCATATGCTTGTTTTTGCGCCGTATTCTCAGTAATATTACTGTTTTTTGATGATTTTTGATTAATCTGTTCAGTAGAAAAGAAACGGTTCTTTGTGATGACAACAATTTTCGGCTTATCGTTTACCAGTATTTGACGTTGATTTGCAAGACTAGAATATTTGAAATTGGACGATATAGCATTATGTAAATATTTTCTTGACAATGTCCTTGGAATTATGAATGCCATCGAAAAGAGGTTAATAAACTTGTTGCCAATCTAAATCTTTAAATATGAAAATAACTCGGCCAATCGGAGAATTTGTGTTGATCATTTGACAATTCTCCTCACAGTTAGATAATCTGTCAATTTGTTATAACCGAAAAGAATGGCAGGAGATCGGAGACGAATACAAGGACCCGAAGTAACTGTTGCGCCAATAATCATAAAGTCTTCTGATAAAGGAAAGATACAACTTACGGACGCTAACGGCCAACGACGTGATGGAAGAAATCTGGAAGATATTCGGCCGATTTGTATGTGCTCTGAAACTTTTTATTGCTATCGCGCTCAGATTAAGGGAATTGTTTTATAGTTGAAAATCACTTTTGTTTAGTCCTAAAAACTGGGCTTATAAGCCAAGCTAATGGTTCAGCATATATAGAGTTGCGACGAACCAAGATAGCCTGTGGAGTGTAAGTCCTAAGTATAATATCTGTAAACAGTTTTTTTTTTCTTTTTTTTTATCACTATTTGTCATATATGTTAGTTATGGTCCACGTCAAACGAAAATTCCGTCATTTAGCGGGAAAGGCAATTTAAATTGTGAAATCAAATTTACGCCATTTTCATGTTTGAAACGTAGACAACCTTATCGTGTAAGTTTTTTATATTAATTTTTATTAAAATTTTGAATTTACTAACAATAAACAATATTCTTGAAGGATGCGCAGGAGAAAGAATTGTCACAACTTGTATTTGAAGCATTGGCCCCTTCCATACGACTTGATTTATTACCAAAATCGACTATTGATATATATATAAGTGTACTGGAGAATGATGGGATGGCATCTTGCTTTGCCGCTGCAATTACGTGTGCTTCAGTAGCCGTGGCTGATGCGGGTATAGAAATGCTAGATCAGGTTGCAGCTTGTTCTGCGGTAAATATTTTGTTTCAAGAAATTATCAAAAATAAATTCGAAACTGACATTATTATATTCACAACTTAGTCATATATTGATGGGGATATTTACATGGATAGTGATCTTGTGGAAGAACAGCGTGAATCAGGTTCTTTAGTTTTGTCTTATATGCCTTCACTGAACGAAGTAACACATATTTTACAATCTGGAGAAGTTGAAGTATCTCTAACCACTCAGGTGCGATCATTGTCCATTATCTATTTTATTGTAACTCAATAAAGTAACTGATTACATAAATTAAATTTAGGCTATTGAACAATGTACTGATACATGTTCGAAAATATATTCAGTTATGAACCATAGTCTATTAGAATCTGTTAAGAACAGGATTCAATAGTATTATATAATAACTAAGATTTTTAATCATTGATTGATTTATTAAAAATTAAAGATAGCAATATTTTATAAATTCTTAGCATTTAAAGCGACAGCTACTTTTGATCTGTTAGGTCTACCTAAATTCTGCGAAATATAATTACCAACGCGCACCAAATCGGTAAGATTCACACCTGTATGAAAGCCCATCCCTTGAAACATGTATACCACATCTTCCGTTGCTACGTTGCCAGTTGCTCCTTTGGCAAAAGGACACCCACCTAATAATCTTATTTAGTATATAAATCGAAATTATTGAGATGAGATATATTAATAAAAGAAATTCATACCCAAACCCGCAACAGAACTATCAAAAACCCTTATTCCATGCTGTATAGTTATTTATTAGATAAATATAATATAAAATAAAGTATTATTATAAATTCAAGAAATTTAAGAAAATTAAGAAAATTGAAAATTAATATGCAAACCAACCTCTAAGGCACAATATATATTAGCAAGAGCTTGACCATAAGTATCATGACAATGTAATGCTAATCGTTCAATTGGTACTACTTTACGAACTGCTGTTAACATTTTGTTTAATGATCCTTAACATAAACAATAATTCCGATTAAAATTGATTTTAATCACTTATTGATATTTGATATTTTTGGTATTTGTTTCATATATAATAATTCTCACCAGGTGTGCCAACACCAATTGTATCTCCTAGAGATATCTCGTAACATCCCATTTTATACATTTCTTCAGCAATTTCTGCAACTGCTTCAGGAGAAACTTCTCCTTGGTAAGGACATCCGAGAACACAAGACACATAACTTTAACACTCAAAATAGAATTAATAAAACTTGATATTAAAAAGATATAATTAAATAAATACACAATTACCCTCTTACAGTAATTCCTGCTAAATTAGCACGTTCAACTACCTCACGGAATCGAGATAAACTATCTTTTATTGAACAATTTATGTTTGCCTGACTAAATTTTTCGGAAGCAGCACCAAAAATGGCCACTTCTTTTACACCTACGGAAATTGCTTTTTCTAAGCCTTTAAGATTTGGTGTTAGAACTGGATAATTAACTCCTGGCTCGCGCGTTATTTTTGTCATTATTTCACTGCAATCTGCCATCTATATTATAAATGGTTATCAATGAAGTGTGTGGTAAGAGAAAAGCGCAGTAGAGAAAAGCACTTTCACATACCTGAGGTACTAGTTTTGGTGATACAAAAGAAGTTGCTTCGATTACTTTCAACCCTGTCTTTGATAACTTGTTTACAAAGCTTATCTTTATATCTGTTGGTACTTGTTGTTTTTCATTTTGTAAGCCGTCGCGAGGACCAACTTCTACAATTTTAACTTGGCCTGGCCCTACATTTGAGCCTAAATTCTAGGGTGACTCAACTTTTTAGAAAATAGTCTTTGTAACAGTAGAAGCAAAACCAAAACTATTTACTTGTTCACGCAATACAGATATTGAACGTGTTTTAGTAAAAAAAGCTTTGTTCGCACGGAAGGTGGATCTAGAGACATAACGAAAAATAGCCATATTGACGAAAGCATAAATCGCAGCCGCGCAGTCTGATAAATCTGGGTATATTAGGCGTTGATAGGTGTAACATTGATAGATATAATAACTATCGCTGCGGAATCGCGAAATATAGCCCAAGAATTTCAAAGTAGAAATCTATTTATATTCGTAACTTTCAGGTTTTAACTTTATTTTCGTGCTGAAACTTGGATCGTTATTTTTCGTATCAGCATTATTAGTTCGCCTCACATGCCGCCCGAATTTCGATGACCATTCGCGCTTTTTAACGTTTTGTAGTTGTATTTTATTTTTATTTATACCATTTGAACAACTACTTTATATTTATTATTATTATATTTTTTTCATTATTTGTTTTTTATTATTAATTAAAAACATTTAGATTTATAAGAGCACTAACAAGAGAGCATGGTACTTGCAACTCGAGAATTTGCTGGCGGTAGTAGCCGTTCAGATAGCACAAATCCAAATTTTAATACTTTAGAAATCGAAGAATTTAACTTTGAAGAGAATCATGATATATTGGAAGATAATGAAAGTGTCAATGGGACGAATGATAGTAAGCCATTATTAAAAAATACAAACAAAGGGTCTTTCAAAGGAGGAAGTATAGTAGTAAATTTGTCAGGTAAGTGTATTTTTTTAACATATACTGTAAGTAACGAATTCTATTAGATCACTCCAAAGAGCTATTATTGATATTATCACTAATTTTCTAGAAAGTCAAAGTGGTTTGTCTTTTGTCCAGAATGTTTATCTAGAAGAAGAAGACCTCAATGTATGTTTGGTATTGTATATTTTTAGAGGTTTTTTTTCCTAAATTTTCATATCCTTTTTATTTGCATTTCAGATCATTTTAATGGGGTACCAATTTAATCGCTTTCGCCTCTACTTATATTATATTCTTTGTTTTTTGACTGGAGGGGCACTGTATCTTCTTGCACGATGGTTCCCAAAAATGTGGATTTGGTGGATTGGAAATGTTTGTATAATGGGAAAAGCTGAATGGGTAGTCGTAGAGGTTTGTAGTTTATATATTCCTCTTTAAGAATATGGAATATAATCATATTTTATATTAATTGCCTTACATATTTTAGAATCAATGGGGCGAAATTGCGATTGAATATGTAAATCGAAAATATTATGGAGGAACTATTTCATCTGTATTTTCAATTGATCAACTCGACGATGAAGATGTAGCATGTCATAAATCTTATCCTGATGAAATATTGCATTATTTGCATTATTTTGATCATCGTTATATAAGATTTATTTGTCATCCTGGAATTGGAAAATTTTTACAAAATAGGTTAATATCTATAGGTCTTTTAAAATCATAGTTGTAGATATAGAGAAACGTTTATTAACGAATTTTATTAGTTTTTGGAGAGATCCAAGCTGGACATCTACTAGGATCTTAAAAAAAGGAATCACTCGTGATGTCCATAATGAACGTGAAATCATCTTTGGACCGAATGTAATTGATATTCAGGAGAAATCTACTTTACAATTATTAACAGATGAGGTCTGATTTTATTCGAGTATTTTAGATACAAATAAAGTAAGAATATGATAGAAATTAATTTTTTGTTAAATCATATTTATAGATTTTGCATCCATTTTATATTTTTCAAGTTTTTTCAATAATACTTTGGGCTCTTGACGAGTACTATTACTATGCTGCATGCATTTTTATCATTACTGCTACAAGCGTTATTAATACTCTCATAGAAACAAAACAGGTAAAAACATTGTATATATAATTTATAATTGTTTTAAAACTCATTGATGATATTTTTTTTAAATAGACCATGCGTCGATTACGTGAAATGTCAAAATTTGTTTGTGACGTGAGAATATTTCGCAACGGATTATGTAAGTTTATGATAATATCGATAAATTTCTTATATTTTAGTTAACATGTTTTAACAATAAATTATAGGGCGATATGTTTCATCAGAAGAATTAGTACCTGGAGATATATTTGAAATCTCTGATCCAAATCTACACGTTTATCCATGCGATGCAGTTTTGTTAACAGGCGATTGTATAGTAAACGAAAGCATGCTTACCGGTAAGTATTAATTGTATTATATTTTATTATTTATAATTATAACCTTTTTTTCTTATATCATTTTAGGAGAGTCAGTTCCAGTTTCTAAACTACCCATTACAGATGCAACATTACGTATGTTGGATTTAACAGCAGCTAATGTTCGACCTGAAGTTTCCAAGCATTTTCTTTTTTGTGGAACAAGGATTGTGCGAGTTAGAAAAGCCAAGAGTAATGGTATATCGGACAATAATGATGATGAAGGAGTAGCATTGGCATTGGTTGTCAGGACAGGTAAATTATTAAATATTATATCATTTATTATTATACATTTTAAGCTAACTGTTCCATTTTATAGGATTTAATACAACAAAAGGTTCTCTTATTCGATCAATGTTATTTCCAAAGCCAAATAAGTTTAAATTCTATCGTGATTCTTTTAGATTTATTGGAGTTTTAGCGTTAATAGGTATCATTTATTTGTAAAAAAATATAAATTGAATTCATTGAATTGTTTTGACAAGGCTTTTTTACTTCTCAGCTGTAATTGGATTTTTTATAAGTACTATCAATTTTATCCGAATGGGAGTAAAATATCACATCATTATAGTACGTGCTCTAGATCTTATTACTATTGTGGTTCCCCCCGCTCTACCTACAACAATGTCTATCGGCACAAGCTTTTCTTTAGCAAGGTTAAGGAAAGCACAAATATTTTGCATAAGCCCTGCAAGGTATTTACTAATTTAATTTCCGTGAATTTGGATCCAGGAACTTTTAGAAAGCTTAAAAATTTTAACGTATTTAAAGGGTTAATATAGGAGGGAAGTTGAATGTTATGTGTTTTGATAAGACTGGTACACTTACTGAGGATGGTTTAGACGTACTTGGGGTACGTTGTGTGGATCAACCAAAAAACAGGTTTGTATTTCATTGAAATTGACTATCAATAATCCTAAATAATCCTAAATTATATTATTGGTATTAATGTATTTTGATACTTTTATTATTATTTTTTTATCTTTCAAGATTCTCAAACCTTCATACATCTGCCGATACCCTTTCTAATATAAATTTGAATGATCCTTCTGTGGACATTAAATCCGTAAGGGGATCTGATTTTGTATCAATCTTATACGTTATGACGACTTGTCATTCTCTTAAGCTTGTTAATGATGAATTAATTGGCGATCCTCTTGATCTGAAAATGTTCGAGTTTACAAAATGGCTATTGGAAGAAAGTGGACAAAGCAGCTCACGCCCTTCAAGTGGTGCAAAAATTTCAAGTAGCGCTTTGACTTCTTCAGCCCAGCCTGCAACTTCGATGATAAGAAGTGGTAGTATTATTCCAACAGTTGTTAGGCCGCCGGGTAGTGAGCAATTCAATTTGTCTGACCTATTGAACAATGAAGTAAGTGAAAAGTGAAATATTCTTAAATATATTTTTTGACAATGAACTTTAGCCCTTAACAATTTCGTCTCTTCTTTTTTTAAGAACACATCATATCTAGAACTCGGTATTATTCGAACATTTGAATTTGTTTCTTCATTACGACGTATGAGCGTTTTAGTTAAACGATTGCGAAGTCCAACGATGGAAGTTTACGTTAAAGGGGCGCCGGAAGTTATGCGTGAGATTTGTAGACCAGATACCAGTAAGTTATCATGTTGCAAGCAAAATTTTTAGTTTACTTCCTTTTAATAATTTATTTTTTTTAAATTTTTCAAGTTCCAGATGATTATGATGAATTGTTAAATTATTATACTCATCATGGCTTTCGTGTTATCGCATGTGCATCCAAAAGCTTTAATAATTTAAACTGGGTGAAGGCACAAAAAATCAAAAGGTTTTATTTCGGATTCATTTTTATTATTATTATAACTGTCTTTTTTTATAAAATTTTGACATTCCGTAACTTCAAAGGGAACAGGTAGAACAAGATTTACAATTCCTGGGAATCATTATATTTGAGAATAAGTTAAAAACCGGTACACCGCCCGTTATTGAAAATCTTATGCGTGCAAAAGTTCGACAGATTATGTGTACAGGTAATAGTTTATTGAGGCGATTAAAAAAATATTCATTAAATTTCGTAACACAATTTCGTTTATATATATACAGGTGATAATGTTCTCACTGCCGTAAGCGTATCACGTGAATGTGGATTAGTCAATAAGAATACAAAGACGTATATACCAAGGTTCACTGAGGGCTCTTCCGTTACACCTAGAGCCGAAATTGTGTGGGAAAATTTGGACGATCCGAAAGATTTATTAAATTCAAAAACTTTGAAGGTTTATAATTTTAACAATTCATTTTATTTCATATTAATCATCAAAATTTCTTACTGACTCAGTCCAATAATTTGATATTTATTAAGCCGTTAACTCAACGAGAATCAAATTATTCCAACGAGTATCCGCTTCTCGACGCTCCTAAATATGACCTTGCTGTTACAGGTGACGTATTCCGATGGATGGTAGATTTTGCTGATGAAACTGCACTTTTTACGGTAAATACGCTATAGCATTGAAAGTTTAATCCATATAAATTATAAATGTTTATATAACCACTTATTACGATTTACCATTTGTTATTGTTAGATGTTGATCAAGGGGCAAATATTTGCTCGTATGTCACCTGATGAAAAGCACGAACTTGTAGAAAAATTACAACTAATGGGATATTGTGTGGGATTTTGTGGAGACGGCGCCAACGATTGTGGTGCTTTGAAAGCAGCAGACGTTGGGTTGTCATTATCTGAGGCTGAAGCTTCTGTAGCAGCACCATTTACCAGCCGCACAATGGACATTGGTTGTGTTATAGAGGTTATCATGTGAGTAATAAGATGATCATTAAAAATAAATATTTGCTTATTATAAGAATGTCGATTAATGTAAAAATTGAATATAAATTCTTTTAATTTATAGAGAGGGGCGTGCGGCCTTAGTAACAAGCTTCAGTTGTTTCAAGTTCATGGCTTTATATAGTATTATTCAGTTTACCACTGTCAGTTTGCTATATTCTTTCGATTCTAATCTAGGAAACTTGCAGGTAGGTAGATTTTTGAAATATGCAATTTTTCATTTATTATTCTCTATAGCTCTAAAATTTGATTTTTATATTTTTATTTTAAAGTTTCTTTATATAGATTTGTTCTTAATATTACCAATTGCGATTTTAAGTAAGTGATTATAATTAATTTTTTCTTCTTTTGAGATAATGTAACTAATTTCGATGTATATCATATATTTGTAATTAGTGGGTCGCACGGAGCCTTATCCACGTATATATCCTAAACGGCCTACTGCGAGTTTAGTTTCTCTGAAAGTATTGACATCTCTCATTGGTCAAGTTTTAATTCAATCAGGATTCCAATTTTTTGTTTATTTCTTAATACGCAAGCAACCTTGGTAAGATTAACTGATTTATTGTTTATAGATTTTTATATTATTTTTACTATTTTTATTTTATTTTTAAGGTATACACCTCCAAATATCGATCCAGATGGTAACAATATTGCTAGTTATGAGAATACCACATTGTTTCTATTATCATGCTACCAATACATTTTAATTGCCGCAGTCTTTAGTGTCGGTCCACCTTATAGAAAATCAATGTTTAGCAATGGTACCAACATATTTTATTTTATCTTGAACTTTCAGAATTATAATCATAAATCTTACGATTGGCTGTTTCTTTTATCTTTAAAATAACAGTTCCTTTTATCCTCTCAACAATTTTTCTCACATTTCTTACGTCCTTTATCCTCTTCTTTCCGACTAGTTTAATGCAACAAATATTTGAGCTTGTAATTATTGAAAATTATTTTAAATTGTGGATTTTGTTTATCGCGACATTAGACTTTATCGTATCATGGTTAATGGAAAAATATGTATTTGGACGTATTGCGCAATGTATTGGAATTTTAGTAAATGGTAAAGTAAAGGTACAAAAGAAATTATACAAAAAAGTACAGAGTGAATTGTAAATTACTTTGAAGAATTATTTACATTATATATTTAGAATTAATTGATATTTATGAGGGGACAATAATAACTTAAGCTAGTTAATTTGGAAATCCAATTATTTTTTTGAATCGAATTTTAAATGTTTATATTCTCCATCTTTAAATTGCTTAGACCACTAATTAGAAATAATAATTAGCAAAATAGATCATTTTTCATAATAATAGAAGGATATTACCATACCATCATTGAAGGAATCCATTGATTAGGTTCGTTATGTCGCCACTAAAAATAAATTATATTAATTACTTTGTTGGTATTTAAAAAATAATTTACATGCTTATACTCTAAAATGATTAGACTGATTTTGTAAAACACTTACTTCTCTCTCTGCAGAAATTTTCCAAACAAACCCCACAAGGACAACAATACCTGTCGTGATTATAGTAGTATTACTTTTCCAATTAGCTGGTCGACTCCACCACCCACCGGCTATAAAATAAATTAAAATAATAAATGATCTGTTAAATTATTAGAGCGACTTTCTCAAATACCTGGAGACCTAATATTAAGATAACGGAATATGTTAAATCAAGACGTATCATAAAATACTGATTATAATAGACTTACCAAACTTCTTTAGGGTAAGGATATCGCTTGACTGCACCCTAAAAGCACCAAATTGAATCAAAGAAATTATGTTAGTTTAAGACGAAAATTGAAATAAAATAAAATATTTTCGGAAACGAAATTATACCATACTATTTATTAAAAAGAAAATCAGTTAACGAATAAATATAACAAATTGATAAGTGATAAGTAAAAATATCCTAAAAGATTTGATTGGTTATTAGTTTTTATGATCAGATCTAGCAAAATGATTGGCTGAGAATATTATGAATGAAAGAAAAAAAAACTTGATATTTTCCTTCTCTTTCAAATTTTTACTTTAAAATGTCTGGCCAACCAGTACGGTATGTAATTTATACAATATAATTATAAAAAATACTAGATAACTTGAATTTGTAAAAATCTTGAAACAAGTCATTTGATTTTATGAGAAGAATTTATAATATATTTTAGCTGAATGGAATATTTTTGATATTTGATTTATTAATCAAATACTAACAAGCAGTTAAATTAATAGTCTTTACTCCAAAGGTCGTGTTCTCGGATACAAGCGCTCAAAGACTAATCAATCCCCAAATACATCTTTAATCAAAATTGAAGGTGTAACAACAAAGGCAGATACACAATTTTACCTTGGTAAACGTGTTGCTTATGTATATCGGGCTAAACGGGTGGTAATTATTTTTTGTATATAAATATATATAAATTTTTTTCTTATGTATCAACTTTATCAACTTGATTATTTTTAGAAAAATGGAAGCAAGATTCGTGTCATATGGGGTCGTGTATCTAGGTAACAACCCTTTAATCATTATTTTCAAAGTAATAAACATATTTGAATTTAAATTATTTATCGAATTATGATAGGCCTCATGGTAATGGTGGTGTTGTGAAAGCTAAATTCAGAAAAAATTTACCCCCAAAGATTTTTGGTGCTTCCGTACGCATTGTAAGTAACTTAAAAAATAATTTTCATGTTTATTAAATTAAATCTTCATACTAATCACATTATTTTGTTGAAATTTAAGATGTTATATCCATCACAGATTTAAATTAATGGAATCTTCTTAAAAATAGTTTTTCTAATGAAATAATAACTTTTTTTTTGCAAAGTTTGAATCTATTAATATAAAAATTAAAAAGATAAAAAATTGGATTTCAAGTGATTCTTTTATTATAAATATTTATTCTCTTTCGTCAGCAATCTTTAATTTTTTAAAAAGATCTTTAGCAATTTCACTAAAGCCCGTGTAATTTTCGGGATGTTCCATAACCTTATTAAAACCTTCAGTATCTCTAACTGTTGCAAAATGTTTTAATATATAATCCATACAAACTTTTTTCAGATCTAACCATTGATGACCCAAACTAAATAATACTTCAGCAACGTTAGATATCGCCAATTCTTTGTAAATTCTTGCTAATGTACGTTGTCTTAAATCAGTGATCTGATATTTATCGGCTAGACGAAAAAGATGTACAAGAGACGTCACTTTAGACGTTCCCACAGGCTCGGAGAGCGTGATTTCATTAGTATATAAATAGTGAAGCAAAGCATAAAATGTTGGTACATCGCAATCTGTAATGTTGACAACATGATAAAAACCAGGAGGTAAATCTTGGGGAAACTCTTCGTCATCAACTTCAGCTTCTGGTCCACTGTTTTTAGATCTACCTGATGACGAAATTCGATCTTCTTGTTGAGTAACTTGTTTTTCAATGACATTTTCTTGAGTACCGCTTTTTGATTTAACGGTTGACTCTGGGATTTCATGATCATTTCTGTTATTTACTTGCCCATTATTATCATTAATCTTAATATTTTTGTCAACAATCTTGTAATTTCCATCACCATCATTATTAGGTGTAGTAGAAGATGTAGATGTCCCATTATCTGTATGAGTTGATCGTTGTTTTTTAGTAAACCTTTGCTCTTCATCTTTAATCTCAACTTGTTTTGTTTTGTCTAAATCTTCTATATCTTGTCCAGAACTTTCAATATCCATATTTCGTTCAACTAATTTTCCATTTCCTGTAGAATCACGAAGTCGTTTTCTTAAACGTCCACACTCCGCAACAGATATCATGCGGGACTCAACATATCCACTAGCGAACATGGCTTTAAAATATTCACTTCTCCCGCAAACAATTTCTTTATTTGCGCAAAGAATTTCTCCTTGAACCTGAAATAAAACATCTGCCATCCTCGGATTATTAACAACGGTACCCCATGAGTATACTAGTGATTCTGGGGGAGCACAATTATTATCATTCCATAGAACATAATTCTCAGTAAAAGGAACATTTAAAAATTCGATTCCTAGAACTAATTTGGTAGATGGAATCATGGACCGCTTAACAAAAAATTCACGCCCTAAACAATTTTAATTACATTTCAGTCAATAAAATTGATGGATCATAAAAGCATCAATTTATAAAATGCCGTACCTCTATAAGAGCACCTAATAGAAAATTTTCTGAGATTTTTGTTAGTATAATAAATTGTACTCCCTATACGAGTTCGTGTTCTGGGATCAGCAAGATAAACTGTCGCGGTTGTCAACATTCGTTCTCGCCATGGCTCAACCGTTTTAATTTCGTTGGCATTAGGAATAACGCAAAGATACAAAGATAAATATTCTTCACCATCTTTAAGGGTATCAGCCTAGCATCGTAAAAGAAAATTAACAGTAAATCCTTAAATAAAATCTTAGAATAGAAGAGAAAAAATATAATTTATAATCACTGGTTGTATCCAAAGTTGCCATAAGTGCTGGTCACTTCCTGAAGAAAAGACAGGGCTATATATTGCCTTATTCAGTTGAGCTAAACCGTCGAACGCAAATTCATAAGTTGCACTAGTAGTATTTTCACTCATTGGGTATCGTCGATAAGTCGATAAGTGAAGTCGTCGAAGTTGTCGCGGACAATAAAATTAACGGTAATAACTTTTATTGGTTTATATTATATTTCCCAATCACGTGACTTATATACACTGATAATCGAAGTTGGTTTTTTATCTAGTAGCACGTAGGCTAAACCTTTTATTTAGTATAGATAGTTAAAATAGTTAGTACATAGTATAGTTACAAAAAAGTATCATGTAATTTTTATTTTATATCACTCTCTGGTTTCGATTCACTTTTACAAAAACGTAGAAATTTACTTATAGTTCGTGAGGAATTTATTTTGGTATAATTATTACTCTCGCACCGCAATATTATAAAATACATCGATCGGTATTTACTTTAACATAGTTACAGATTATTCAGCCCTTAATGAATGGTTGTTAAATGCTTCTTTAAAAATAGCTAATTGTCATTAAAAAAAATTAGTGAACATGTGAATCATTAGCATTCAACCTTGAAATTCTGGTATAATCTGTATATTAAAACTACTAGTTTTTGACCAAGAAAAAACTGTGCTAGGAAGAAACATCCGCAGAAAGTTCAACCATCAATTTCAATCACATAATATAACGTGCAAACATTTTGAATTTCATCTAAATCATAAAATGATGAAGGGAAGGGCTTACGGAGCATTATCACTGATATTGATATAATGTTATTCTGTTTTATTAATATCGAAGAACATATCGCCTGGACCATGTGTAACTGACCAGATAATTGTAAACGGATGTTGAGCCAAAGAGGTAAAGAGACAAAGAGGTTCATATTTTATAATTTATAAAATATATATTTTTTTTATATAAATTATATATTGTATCTATTAATTGATTGATATTTATATTACACAGTGAAACTTGATATAATGGAACCATCCATTCCATTATTAAAATTTGTCAAAATCCGTTATATCGAGGGTAAATTAATTATAGATTATGATAATCCGCTCCAGACCCCAATTGGACTTTACTTATGTTCCGTTGTATCAAGGTTCCGGTATATCGAATTTCACTGTGTATTTAGATTCCAAATTTGCAAAATTAAATCATTCACAAGTACAATTAGTAGTTTTAGTACTGCCTAAGTTTTTTACAGAAATAACTCATGGATGTTTAGTGATATTCAACCAAAATGCATAACTACCAGAATTAAGAATTTTAAGCTGTATATATGATTAATATACTCCAGGTCTAAAGGTCAGTGTTATACTGTATATATATTGTATATACTTTATAAATTGTTTTGGAAAAAAAAATCTCATGTCTTTCAGATATTTGCAAAATTTTCACTCAGCTGTCATTTGTCCATCATCTTTCAAATATTACTGGGGCTTATGCACAAATGTTGTAAGTTATAAAAAGTTTTGGGATTTTTATTATTAAATTTAGTATTTTGTATAATCAATAATTTTTTTTAACTCGTGATTTATTATCCAGACAACAAATCTTAAAGGAACAAGTTAATAATATTAGTCTATTTCTGATATAAAAACGTTGAAGGAGAGTTAAAAAGCATTTAATAAAGTTTTATAGTTTTATAAAACGAAGGAATCTTGTACATAATGTTTTGTTTAGAATATTTTTTAATCTTAGGTGATAATAAATGATTTTGATAATATCTCCTATTTTAATATTTGTTTTATTACTTTTGATTATAACTTTTGATTATAAGTTCTGATTATATAATTAATTTTTAACATATATTACATAAATGGATCAACAATCAAAGATATATTTAATGAAATCAAATAATTTTAATGATGATATTAATAACACATTAAATAAGAGTTAGCAAATTGGATATTATGTGGGTGGATACTAGTGATCAAAAAACTATCGTTCTTTAATTTATGAAGTTACATTATGTTAACAACTTGGTCCGTAACAACTATAATTATGACTAGTTAGTTGGCCAATCATTTCTTATTACACGTGATTAAATTAATAACAAAATACAAATAATACTAGCATGATATTCAACAAGATGAATGCAAAACAAAAATAATGGAAAACTTTTTTATAATACTTTAATTAATCGTATTATAATTAACCTTATTATAATATTTGAGGAGATGCCATTGTAGCCATTGTTCCTGGGCATATAATTCATTTATCGAACACAGATCGGATGATCATGTTCGAAATTTTTTTTTTTTTTTTTTTTTTTTTTTTTAATTAAATGGACCAAGTGAATATCTTTTCTTTTTCATAAAAACTTTCATTAAATAGTTAAAATGGGAACAAATTTCTCAAGTTTAAAACAGTCCCAGTCATCAAAACCTTCAATTGTTTTTGAACATAATTTTTCTTTAAATACAAGTATAGCAACTAGTTTATCACCTGAATGTCTACAAATAATCTTTGAATATCTTGAAAAAGAGTCATTTTATTCGTGTCTTTTAGTCAATCGAAGTTGGAGTAAAGTTTTAATTCCTATTTTATGGAGAAATCCCTTTAAATTTTCAAATGACTTGTCACTTGAATCTTCAAAAATAATACAAATTTATCTTACGTGTCTTGATCGAAAGTCAAAACAATATCTTTATAATAATGGGGTTATATTACCGAACAATCTTTTATCTTCACCTTCATTAATATTTGATTATCCATCATTCTTGAAAGAATTAAAATTTTCGGATTTATATAATGGAGTTTCTTATTGGTTTTCTAATATTATAGGAAATCTTACAGATGAACAACAAACATCATTTCTGAAAATTTTAATTACAGAACAATTACTTAAATTATTCATGAATCAATGTTCTACATTTGAATTACTCTCATTATCAGATATACCTTATGAAACAACCATGCCATTATTACCATTTTTAACAGGTAATGATACATGTTTTTCTCGTTTAAAAATATTTCAATGTGTTAGTAAACATAAAAATAAAAGTGATATTTTTAGAGCAATATCTCAAGTATCAGAATTTATTGAAATATTAGAAGTTGGAGGGGTTGATCATGATATGGAAGTTAAAGCATTAGGAGTTTTAATTAGAGCACAAAAAAGATTAAAAAGTTTTAAATATACATGGGATCATCAAACAAAATTACAAATTGTATTATCAGAAACTCTTTTTACACTTAAATCTCAAGCAAAATCATTAAAATCAATACAATTTGAATATTGTAATTTTCAACATTGTGAATCTATGGAATCTTTAATAGCACTTGAAAATTTAGAATATTTACAATTTATACATTGTATATATATAGGTGATAAAATGAAATCTTTATCTTTAGCAAATTTTTCAAATTTAAAATATCTTGGATTTTATACTAATTATATAGAATCACCTCGTTGTTGGGTATGTCCTGATGATGTAGCAGCATTAATCGAAAATTGTCATAATAGTTTAGAACAAGTTATGTTACCAAGAACTGGAAGTTGTACAGTATCATCTAATAAATTAGTAAAAGCTCTTAGATTATGTAGAAAGATTAAAGATTTAAAAGTACAAATGGGAGAAGGAGATGCTGAAGAATTCTTGGAATTTTTAAAAAATAATGATAAATTAGAAAAAGCAACATTAATTTGTTATGGGGATTCAAATATTGAATATTTTTTTACGAAAACTATAAGACAATGGCCAGATACTTTATCAACATTAAATTTAAGAGGACAATGGATTATTTCTCCCGAATATTTAAAAACATTTTTAAAAGAATGTAAATCTTCAGTAAAACAATTAGATTTACATTCTTCTCATATAACAGATGATCATGTTAGAGCTGTAATTGAATATATTAAAGAAATGAGGGATGCGAAAAAAACTCCATTAAATAGTTGTTTAATATCTGGTGATCAAATATCTGAAGAAGGAAGAAGGAAAGCAAGAAATTTTGTAAATTTGACAGGAATTTTTCTTTGATAACCATATTACAGTATATAAAAAATTTTATTACCTTTTCAACAAAATTTTTAACCAATATTAAAATAATTTTATAATTCTATTTAATATGAAGACGCGTAAAAAAAAAAATATATTAGTTATCATCATATTTCAACTAATTCAAATATACTTACAGCTAAAGCTTCGGGATTTACACCGTTTTCACATAAATTCAAACATAATGAAAGTGTATCACGATCCAAACCGGTATTGAGTAATGTAGACATTTCATGAAGTACTTTTAATATCATTAATTAGTCATACTTTGTACAAAAGAAGGATAAAAAATGTTTATAATTTTATAAATATTTATAAAGTTATTACAAAATAAAAACATACTATCCAAAGTTTCTATAGCTTCTTGAATTTTAGGATCTTCCATGATTAATGATTAATGTTTTTTTTCATGATGTAAATAGCGATATATAAAGTATGCAAAGTATGCAATTATCACGTGAAGTTTACTATAACGAGTTAGACTTAATGTATCTTATATCATGTCATACACGTGATTTGTGATAGAACCCGTTGAATTACTTGATTTTTTTTTTTAAAAAATGAAAAAAAAAAAAAATTGTAACAATTGAAAAATAANAGCTAAAGCTTCGGGATTTACACCGTTTTCACATAAATTCAAACATAATGAAAGTGTATCACGATCCAAACCGGTATTGAGTAATGTAGACATTTCATGAAGTACTTTTAATATCATTAATTAGTCATACTTTGTACAAAAGAAGGATAAAAAATGTTTATAATTTTATAAATATTTATAAAGTTATTACAAAATAAAAACATACTATCCAAAGTTTCTATAGCTTCTTGAATTTTAGGATCTTCCATGATTAATGATTAATGTTTTTTTTCATGATGTAAATAGCGATATATAAAGTATGCAAAGTATGCAATTATCACGTGAAGTTTACTATAACGAGTTAGACTTAATGTATCTTATATCATGTCATACACGTGATTTGTGATAGAACCCGTTGAAAAAATTTTTTTTTTTTTTTTGTAGATATTCGGGCCAAAAAAAAAAACTTTGAGGCTTCAAATACAAAGATGGATATAATAATAATGATAACAATCATATAAATACTTTAAAGTGAGTACACAATATGGTTATTATCAACTATTATGTTGAAATTATCGATATTTGACTTAAGAATGCATCGTAAAATATCGAACACAATACTTCATAAGTACAACAACAATACTGGAAAAAAAAAGATAAAGATGATAAACTTCGCCGTTGGAATATTTTTACCGCAGCGATCTCAAGTTAAAAAGAATAATCAATATAAGCAGGGGGAAACGAAGTGACATAAATGACATATGAAAATCCACACTAAAAATGGTAATATTTTTTTCTTTTTCTTTCATTTTCTTATTGTTAAAAAAGTTCAAATAACTTCTACATTTTTACGCGTACTTTGTTCGTATTACCATTTAAAGTATAGACACTTTGAAGCATAATGCATAAGAGCAAAGCAATTGTATTTTGTGAGGCTGCAAGTAATCTGCATTCACTTCCCCCCCACAATGGTTGCACAATGTTACATTAAATCAAATATTGCATAATTTAAAAATTTTTTGAAAGCTTTGACAAGTAAGTAAACAGGTTTAACAGTTATACATAACATTATTCTTACCAAAAAGGACCTCACCTGTCTTTTTGATGTCAAAATTAAAAAAACTAAAAAACTGAATTTGTCCATTGTAACATCAAATTCCCAGGTCAAAGGTTCTTTAGGAATAAAGAAAATTTTGTGGTCTGTGTTATTAATTAAAATAAATAAATATTTTTAATTTTAATATCTATTTGAGGAAATACTTAAAAAGTGTATTTATTCGCGTTCAACGCGTTGAACGGTTCCCCCTATTATCAAAATAAAAATATAATATATATAGAAAATTATGTGGATATATATATATATATGATTCTTGGCGCTTGCCCCTGATTTAGACTGGAAAAAATACAACATAAACAATGATACACACGTCCATACAAGTATAATCACCCCCACGAAAAAAAAACAATGCATAGAGATAAAAGTTATGTTACTACTGCAAGACATCGATCATTGCGCAGTTCTTTTAGAATTACTTTTTGTTACGATCAACTTTAGATACCAAAATAAAATTTCCATTGAGGATTAATGACCAATTAAAAGACATAATTATTGCACAATGTTTTCGCGAAGGGTATTCATAGAAACTTACTTGAAATGGTCATTCTCACGATCTTCTGTTTATCATAAAGAAAATGAACAATGAAATATTTTGAAAATGTTTTTCTTTGATCTACGTATTTATGATAATATAATGTTATCGTAAATGATTGAGAGTTTGATCCACAACATATTCCGCGTTTACCGTTACGTGAATTACAAGATTGGTCCATTGAATATTTTTTTTTTTTTTTTTTTTTTTTGAAAAAAAAAAAAAAAAAAAAAGGTTTCCCAAAAAATTCCTCTTGTACTCCTAATTTTTTCATATTTCGAGAAAAGCGGTAACAAAATTATTAAGTTACAAGAGTTACAAGTAAAAATAATACTAGACTTTTTGAGAATATAATTACCTTATATTATACAAGTTATGCAGTAATGTAAGGCTGAAGTGGGAAGATTCATAAAAATTTTTTACAATCAATTTTTTTTGAACGTGACCTTAATTAAGACAAAAATTTACCCTTTTTTGGAGAAATAAAATAAATTGTATAAAAAAAAAGTAAGATAGTAATACAGATGATAATTTATTATCAATATATCATAATTATTATTATTATTTATTATTGACTTTTTCTTTTTTCTTCCCTCTTTTTTTTTTTTTTATAGCTACTATAATGAAAAGGTGTATTGTGAACTTTAGAAGAAAAAAAGAATTCTAAAATAGTATCAATGATATATACTCAGTAATAATGTGCCACGAGGGTCATCAATATTATCAGTAGAGATTCGTAAGAACACCAATTCTTCGGTAACATGCGACCTAATAATATTCGTGCGCGCAGACAATCACATTATCCATTTTTTATACTGCTATTCATTTTTTGAAATATTAATTAATTAATTATTAATAACTTTATTTCTTTTCTATATTTTAGAACTATTTGCTAAAAAGCAAATAATAATAAAAAAAAATCCATTATAAAATAAACCAAAAAAAATAATGTATTAAATGCAATAAAATTTAATCATAATATTCTTACTAATTTCCATTTTACCGCCTTAATCTTTCATCACATTTTTACGACTTTCCAAGCGATATTAAACGCTTTTTTTAAGTAAAACCAACTCAATTCTTTCCCTGTTCTTAAAAATTTTATCTCTTTTGATCTAATCGTATTTATATTTTAATAATGGGTAGTCAATGTTATGTAAATTCTGAGTGCGGTTCAGTATTCTCGCAAGAGAATATTTCATCAAGCCATTTTCAAGCTATCGATACAACAAATGTAAATACATTCAGTACTGGAATTATATATCCAAGTCCTGTATATGAACCAAAAGAGCTTAATGCTTATACCCCCTTTAAAAATTCTCACCAACCGTTACAAATACAGCAAGAAGACACCGCGTCTACGCTCTATCCGACACAAATGTCTACATCTACAATTAATTTAATCAAAACAGAAGAGGAAGTTTCATTATCAGTTTATCCTCAAAATGAGTACAAACCAGAGGTATCCTGTTATTTATTTTATGATCATTTTTATTGTTATTATTAAACTTTTTAAACTTTTAACTATTTATATTTTATATTATAATTTAAACTTTTTATACTTTTTTTTATCAACATGTATCAGTATACATCACAGTGTTTTGGTAGTCAAAATGAATTCGGTATGTTTGTCATATCCGAAGGTATAATTTCACTTTTTTTTTTCCTAAAAAAATAAAAAGATTTTTTTTTTTTTTTTTTTTTTGATAATTTAAGATAACACGTTTTGTTTCTTTTAGGAATGGGACATTTAACTCAAAAATTTCATGTTTCTCCCGTAAATCAAAATTATATCGCATGTCCACCTACACCAACTACTCCTCATACACCTTATAATGAAAATTTCTTTCCTGAAGTATTTCCTACAACACCTCCAGCGGATATAAACATGTTCAATCCTGCAACTTTACTCGCGTTTTCTCAACAAGCAGAACATTTTTATGATCAAGGACATTATTTTCTTCATGTCGCGAACCCTCGTAATGCTTATCTCGCGTTTTCATATTTCGCGTATGCTGCAAATTTAGGTTCTCAACGCGGTAAACATCAACTCGCTTACTGTCTTCAACATGGTATCGGTGTTGTTAAGTAAGTATTATTTTATTTCTTTATTAATTATTTAAACTTTAACATCATTTATGAACTTTTAAATTTTTATTAGAGATGAAAAGAAGGCCGTAAAAATATATTTGGAAATAGCAAGTGCAGATCCCCCAAATGCGGCAACGTTGTGTCAATTAGGAATCTGTTTTCAAATGGGCATTGGTGTTGAAGTTGACGCGTCGCGTGCTGTTCAATGTCTGTCTCTTATACACATCTAGATGTGTATAAGAGACAGGTTTAATCTCGCGTACTGTCTTCGATATGGTCTTGGTACCCCTGTAAATCATAAACGCGCATATGAGTTATATTATCATTTGGCCGAATTAGGTGATCCACAAGGCATGAAACTTTTAGGTAACTGCAAAATGTCAGGAATTGGAACCGAAAAAGATGAAATTGGTGCACTTGAATGGTTTCGACGTTCTAGTGAAAGTGATATTTACTGGGGTGGTAAAATGCAATATGCTTTACATCTTCTTAAAGGCATAAATACTGCTCCAAATCACGTCGAAGCATTTAATTTGGTTAATACTGTTTGTGAGAATTTTCCTTCATGCCCTGGACCTAATAAACTACTTCTCGGAAGATTTTATCACTCTGGAACTGGATGTCAAGTAGATCTTGAAAAAGCCTTATATTGGTATGAAAAAGCATTACGAAGCTATTATATGCCATCATGCTATGTACAAGAATCTGAAATGTTGATCAATGATATCCGTAATCGACAAATTCAAAATTCAATGATTTTCTTAAAGGGGGTTGGGAATGAAAATGGTATAATCGATGAAGATATTGGTCATGAAGATGGAAATTGCTAAAAAAAAAATGGCAGTTTGATAATAGCTTTAATATATATTATAATGTATATATATATATATATTTCATTTTCCCCGCAAAATTTTATAATACTTTTCTTTTTTTTATGTCGAATGAACAACTAAGAATATTATTTATGCTGCCTTTACTCTCCTTTTATTCTTTTTTCATATGGAAACTGTAGGTTAATTTTTAATTTTAAGCACAAAAAAAAATTATTATTTTCGTATAATATTATATATACATTTATATATGTATATGTCTATGAACAAAAAAAAACTAAGTAACTAATTTATAAAAACTAATAAAAAAACTAAGATGTTTGTGTGGTAAATAATAATTTCCAATTTCCGCAGTATAAATTTGATCAAATCTTTCACGTGATGACGTGATGATCAACATGATAGGATTATAATAGAGGTCACATCCGCAGAACTAATTAAAAATTTAAAATATCCATTTTTATATAAATTGAAGTTTAGAGTAAACCAAATTTTGCCATGTTAAAATTGTTAAAAATATATGAAACTGCTGTGATTGTTAAAAATTTGAAGTAATCTTTAATTCAAGAATATTTTAAATTCCTTAGAAAAGGCTATTAAATTACCATCTAATAAAAACTAAAAAGTAATTTTCTAAAGTTATTTCATTCTAAAGAAAAAGAGAATGTAAGTAAATACTAATCATTGATTTCTTTCCATTCAGAAATGACTTCAAGTTACTTCTTCTGACTGGTCAATATAGTTGCAAAAATATATAAATAAGTAAATCAGTATTTTTGTTTCTGTTTTTATTTATTTTTAATTTTAATAACAAAACTAACATTCTTTTCTTTATTTTTCTATAAGAATTTATTTTTAGATAGTAAGTACAAAACTATATTTTAAAGGTTAAAATCAATTAAGATTAATTGATTAATAAGATACCTCAAAAATTGATTAATCAATTAAAAACATAGATTATCTTAAAATAGATTTATTTAATTAGATTGACTTTTTTAAAAAAAATTATTATTTTTAAATATTATTTTTAAATAAATCTTTATTTTATATTACATTTTTATAAAGTAGCTATTTAATATATAGGTAATAATAAACCAAATAATAATTTTTTTAAATATATTGACTATAGGAATATTGAAGATATTAAAGAATTTTTATTTGAATTATCAAAGTTTGCATTTTCCATTTCTAAAAAATCATTATTTTTGGAATCAAAAACTAATACAGTCATCCTTCCATATAATCACACCCTTTGGGACCATAAAAAAATGGTGTGACTATAAAAATTATATATAATGTGATTAAAGGGAAGGTTTTTTTAATAAGTTTATTAGTAACTTGGGATTAATATAAATGTGCTTATAAGGGAGTTGTGATTATACAGAGGGGGGTGACTATATAGGAGGACAACTGTATATATAAATCAACAGCAGCAAGTAAAAAAGTTAAAATTATTTAAATCCAAAAAAAACTTCAGTTTGTATAAAAGTATTTTGAAACTTGAAAGAACTGATAATAAAAAAATACAATATATAATAACTATAATAAAAAACCTTTTTTTTTTTGTTTAGAAAATAGTGAAAGTATATACTAAAGTCTTATAATATGATGATCCTATATAATTCAATAGTTACTATAGAAGGATATAGATGAATTTTATAAGGTGATAGTAGGATACAGGAGCAATTTTATAGATAAAAAACTAGTTTAAAGTTTTAATAAATTAGTTATATAATAGGTGCTTCTATATTCTTATATATAATTAATAAACTCACGAATTGCACTACCTTATAAAAAACAAATAACTATAATAAAAAATAGAAAAGAAAAATCATATAATACAATTTATAAATATTTTAGTAGAATTCTGAACAATATATAGAAAGGCTAATTGTAAAAATTACTTATTAATCATATAAAGTTGGAATATTTTTTTAAATTTTCTATATTATATAATATCATTGTTTTTAAATAATTTAACTAATTGGATTTTAATAAATTTTATATCATTTAATGATAGTAAAATTGCATTTTTAAAACTAATATTAGTTGAGTTATTATAAGTTAAAAATTTGATTATATGTATTTACTAAGTTAGATAAAGTTATATTTTAGTTTTACATCAAATATAAAATATTACTTAAATTTATTGTATAATATAATTAATAGATTTAGAAAACTTTTTCTATAATTAAATCTATTATCTTCTAATAAAACAATCAAAATTTTAATTACAAATATAAATTAAAAAAAAATTATTATTAATAATTAATACTTATAAATTTATTTCAAATTTTTCTTTTTTAAATACCAGTTTTTTTCTTTAGATTTGAATTGATAATAATTGAAACTTGTACATTTTTTTTTTTAAATTTTTCTTTTTTTTTTGTAGATATTGTACCTTTAGTTTAAGTTTTAGATTTAGTAAGTTTCAATTTGAACTTATATATTTCTTTAATTTTTTTTTTTTAAATTTATCTTTTTTTTTGTAAGTATCAGTTCAAATATTGATGACTTTTTCAGTTTGATTTTTTGATATTGAAAGAAATTAGTAAATTTTGAAGCATTTCATTTCAAACTTTTTTAAGTTTTTTTTTTAATTTTTTGTCTAATTTATAAATATCATTATAGATATCATCAGTTTTTAAGTTAAGTTTATTATAGTAATAAATTAGCAATAGATATAATATATTATATGTACATTTTGTATAATAATTAAAATAATTAAAATTAAATTAAATTATATTTAAATTACATTTAAAAGTAATAAAATATAAATTCAGAATTTAAATAATTAAAAATTGGCTAAAATTATCGCCATTTTCAATTTAGTGCGACCCTCTGATTGTGTAACTAGATGTAAATCTAATTTGATTTTCCCAATTTCCTCTATTTTTTTTCAATTATTTCTAATAAAAGTTTTTTGTTAAATTTATTTCTTGTAAATTTTCCATGATTTCATAAACTTTTTATGATAAATTATACACTTGCAAAGTTATAAATATGATATTTATCAGGTAAAAATTAGTTTTCAAATTATAAAGTTTTACAGATTTCCTTCAATTATCTTTTTATGCAAAAAGTTGTCTTAAAAGTTATACTTTCAAACAAAAATATTACTTTTATTTAATTATATAAAGCTAAACAAATTTTTTTTTCATTTTATATTTTAATAAGTTTAAGTTTTATTGAACAAACAATATATTTCATATAATTTATACTTTAATTAGTATTATGTATATTTAAATGGTTATAACTATGTATAGTCATGTCAGATTAAGATAATTTTAAAATATTAAAACAAGCTTTATTTGTTCTTTCAAAATATTAAAAATTATTTAAATTGAATCACAGGAAACATAATTATTAATTTTTAGAATTATACTTTTTTTCTTTTTTTTTTCATTCAAAATTAATCACGTAATACTGTTAATTTTATTGGCCATCAATAATTTCTTACTGTATGATACATGTCGTAACAACAATTTTATTGGCTTTTAATGTTGATTATTATGTGAAAAATCTGAAAATCTGATTTTCTATAATAATATGATGAAAATCAGAAGGTTGCACTAAATTGAAAACAGCGATAAAACAAAATTCCTTCAACATTCGACAATTTAAAATTTGAACAAAATGCATTATTCTGACTGATGATTTACATCTGAATTTAACTAAAAGTTATTTCTAATATTAATTGAATTTTAATTAAAATTCTAAATTAAATTTTAGATGAGTAGCAATGAACTGCAGCTAAAAAATTGGTCAAAGTTCATTTAGCATTAAATTACAATTCAGCCTAAAATCAGCTAGCCAAATTTTAGCTGATTTAGACTATACATTTATTGGAAAAATCCACAGAAATAATATTATTTTTAATTTTAACAATTTACTAAACCCTTTAATTCCTGTTATTACTAGCATCTACCATATACCAATAGATAAAACTCTATATCTATCCTTAATATTTTTAATAAAATATTAATATATTTTTACTTGGTTTAGATTTTATTATTTATTTACTTAACTTTCAAACTTCAATAATTTCCTTTATAAAGATTTTATTAATTTTAATTTATAGATTTACTCTTAAACTAAAATAACTTTCCTATATTTTATCATCTTTAATAAATTAAATATTAATTAAATTTTAGGTGAACCATGAATATATTTAAAATAACTTTTAATAAATTAAATTTTATTGAACTAAAACTTCTGATTGCAGAATTCCTATTGAATGGTATCAGAACATTTCGCTGAAAACCATTTCACTGAAAAATAATCTCTAATCTGAATTATTTATAATTCTGCATAATGTTGGCCTTAAAACGTCTTTTTGGCAAAATGGCTTTTGGCAAAATGTACTGTAACCCTATTGAATTCCACTTATATTTATAGTAATTTATATTATATCAAAAATTATAAATAAGAAAAATAAGAAAATATTCTTATTTTTTTTTTTTATTTTAGACCTCTTTAAATATAATTGGTTTAATTAGCCATCAAAATCAATTGAACAAGACTTATTTTTGTATAATATTTATTTTAAAAATATATTATATATATGTATAATATTTATCTTAGAAATTTTTTCATAAATTTTTTTTATAATTTATACTAATACATATATATATTATTTTTATCAAAAAATTTTATAAACTTTTTTATAGCATATACTAATAAACGTATAATATTTATAGAAAAATTTTTTTATAATATATGCTAATATATATATAATATTTATTAAAGATTTTTTAATTAATTTTCTTTATTATAGAAATTTTTTATAATGAAAAAAAAACAATATAATAATAAATTAAACCAACTATTAGAAATATTTATTAAATATTTAATAACTGAATAAAAAATTATTTATTATATTTTTATTTATTTTCTACTTATAAAATAATCTTATATTAAAAAATAATATTGCTATTAAAATAAAAATACTTTTTAAATTTTTATTAAAGTTTTGTAAATATGAGTATCAAATAATTTTATTTTTCAACACATTAATCAAAGCCAATTAATTTAACTAAAATACTAAAATTATATCATAAATATCTGTAAAAATACACACATATATATTAGTAAAATTATAAATTTTAGCTAAAAAAAATTTCAAACAATACATAGTAATTTAATTTAAAATTTAAAGAAATCAATATAAATTTACCTATTGCAAATAAATATTAAAATATAAAAAATACTTTATATTTATTAAATTTAAAATTTTTGATAAAAAGATTTTTTTTATTATTTTAATATATACTATTATGAAAATAATAGTAATAAAAAATTATTTAATATAAAAAGAAAAATAAT